GGTGGAATCGCCGGTGTGACACGTGACGATTCGAGAGTCAGTTATTGTTGGGTTCCAACCGAGACGGGCTTGAAGCCATAAGAACCCACTTTTTTTCACCGAGGAAATTTGTATCTCCCCTTTGACGATGATCGAGCATTAGACATTGAAATGTGTCCGAAATGTGAGAATTATAAGTTGGTTTACGATTGTCCATCTGAGGATTGTCAGGTTAAAGACAGGGCCTCTTCTCCGGCTTGCAGAGGTTGCACGCTTTGTATACCGAGGTGCGCTCAGTGTGGAAGGTGTATCAATGATAATGAATATGAAGAAACTTTCTGTCTGGATATGATTTGCTTAGATTGTTTTGAGCCGCCGTTACTGTACCAAGAAAGGCTGGAGATTAAAGAAGCTGACTCGTGTGCGGATTTGCACGAGCCATTTTATCACTGAAGTTGTGGTTTGGTGATGAAATTTCATTTTTACGTTAGTCAAAAGATGGCGAATAAAAAAAAGAAAGGAAAAAAAAAAAGGGTCATCCTCAAAAAACAAAAAAAGAAAAAAATAACCGAAAAAAGAAAAAAGATGAATGGAAGAGAAACGGAGGAGGAGATGAGTGAGAGGAAAAGGGAAGGCAAGAAAGAAATGTGGCTCTGTTTTTTGCAACTAAACGGTCTTTGTGTACTTACTTGTGAGGTGAGTTACGTGCTTTTGCTTCAACGTGGAAGTTTTTTTGGGATATTTGTTGTACGAGTGGATTTGGTAAAACTCGAGATTGGAAATATGTAGCGTCTGTGGATTACGCACCGAATCTTCTACTGAGATTTGGTAAAACTCGAGATTGAAATTATGTAGCGTCTGTCTGTGGATTACGCACCGAATCTTCTACCCAGATTTGGTAAAACTCGAGATTGGAAATATGTATCGTCTGTGGATTATGCACCGAATCGTCTACCGAAATGCCAATTCTTCCTTGGGCAGGAAGCTCTTGGTGCAGCTTTTGTTTCTTATATGTTTGTATGACTTTATAAGCTTGCTTTATATATGATATATACATACATACATATGTATATCTATATTTATTATTCTTGGAACTTCTGATTGCCACATTGTACTTTGGATATTTTCATCAATAAGAACTTGTCACGATGTTTTTTAACACGTTGTCCTCAAGTTTTAAACGAGGTTATTAATTCATATGAGTATTAATTTATTGAGGTTTTACTGTATTTCAATTCTTGTATGTGAAAACAAACAAATCATAAACGACTCCTCAAAATATGGAGTGGATCATAGTTGGATCGAAAATATTAAAATGTAATAAGTTCTTATAAATTTATTTTTCATACATGTGTTTTTTATTTTTATTTTTTAAGATTTCAGACTTTTTGACTTTATCCAAAGTTAAATTTATGGAATCTGAAAAAATAGGCAAATCGAATTATGAGATTATAAAGTTAGTGTAATTGTCCTAAAATCTTAGTAATTTTGACTTTTGAAACAAAAATAAACTATCCCCCTTCCTTGCAATAAAAAAAAAAAAAAAATCCTTTTTCTCTTAACCTTGTAACCAAACATAAAGATTCTCATACACCAATTCCCCAAAATAGCGAAAATTGGGATTGAAAATTGGAATAACAAACGGGCAGATTATCCCAATTAACCTTGTAACCAAACATAAAGATTCTCATACAACAATTCTATTCTCAGTCTCTATCTGAAGTCTGAACCATCTTCTTCTTCATTTTAGCAAACACTACTGAAAACCCCCAAACCTCAAAACACCTACCAAAAACATGTACATGTCTGAGAAACCCCAACCGCAGCCTGAATCCGCCATTGATTTCTACACCGGCGACAAACAAGAAGCTCCCCACCACAGCAGCAACATGATCATCCACCACATCGCCGCCGCCGACGCCACCTCCAGCGGCGGCGATGAATCCGCCGCCGCCGCCGCCGCCAACAATTCGGCGAACCACCCATCGTCCTCCCTCGCGCCGAAGAAGCGGGCGGAGACGTGGGTCCAGGAAGAAACCCGGGCCCTGATTCTCCTCCGCAAAGAAATCGATATGATGTTCAACACCTCGAAATCGAACAAGCACCTGTGGGATAACATATCGCTGAAAATGAGGGAGAAGGGTTTCGACAGATCCCCAACCATGTGCACCGACAAGTGGAGGAATTTGCTGAAGGAGTTTAAGAAAGCCAAGCAGAACAATCAAGATGGCGGTGGCAGTGGCTCTGCTAAGATGAATTGTTATAAAGAAATTGAGGAAATTTTGAGGGAGAGGAGCAAAAATGGGCCCACTTGGAAAAGCTCTGAAGATGGTGGTGGCGGTGGTGGTCCTAAAGTCGATGATTCGTTTATGCAGTTTGCCGATAAAGGTCTCGATTTCGTTTTTTCGTTTTTTTCGATTTTTATTTTGGTTGAATGTGTCTGCTGGTATTGTTTCTAATCATGAATTTGGGGATTATGGAGGTAGATATGGAAGGAGTACTTGGTTTCTATTTTCGATTGTTTTATGCAGGTTTTTTCCGATATCGATAGGGTTTTCGTGTTTTCTTTGCCGGTGATTTAAATTTTAGTGCACGTCGTTTAATTGTTCGGTTATGCGGTTTGATAGTGTGGTTTTCTGATGATAGCGTCGCAGAGCTTGACCTTTGTTCGTATGCTTGTGAATGTAGCATGGAAGTGGTATTCTCGATCATATACCTGTTTTTATTTTTGCCAAACAAAATTCAGTTTTCACTTGAAGGATCGATGAAGATGATTTCGAGAACAATTTAATGTTTAAACGTTGATTGTGTCACTGTGCTATTCTAGCTATATATTTTGTTCGTTCGGTATAGATGGATGAACGGATGAACGGATGAACGGGGCGGGTTTATAGTTTGTGCGTGCATGCATGAATTTTCGACCAAGGCGCATGCACGTACGTGACTTTGGCTCATGTTTTACGGGCGAGCAAATCAGGAAAAAAAAAATCAGTAATGAATTGGTTTTAATTTGTTTGTTTGATCAAATTTAATGTTCGTTTATCAGCTGATGACACACCATTTCTCGAAATCATGGGAATGTATATTTAAGAAATTTCTCGTAGATTCTAATGCAGAAGTTGGTTTCCGTCTTAGGGGTGATTAATCATAAATGGATGTTAAGTAATTAAAGCATTCGTGTATCTATCTATTCACTACATTAATTCCCATGTTGTGATTTCGTTTATTTTGTTTACGAGTGTCCCTTTTCTAAAATTACATGCACGTTAGTTTTACGTGGCGAAAACTTGTGGTAAGTTATTAGGGTTTTAATTCTTTTTCCCCATATTTTACGAATCGTATTAACTTCGTTACATTATTTGGGCTTTGCAGGTATTGATGATACCAGTCTTACTTTTGGACCCGTGGAAGGTATGTTTCTAATCATAGAGATTTTTCGTATTTTAGATTCCGATAACTTTATTTTAGTTGATTTAATATTGCTCATTTTATCCTAGCAGCAGCCGTTTATATATAAACATATGTAGTAAGTACCATTTTAAGCTCGAAAAAGTCATAATGATGAATGATTATATCTATAAAGTCAAAAATTACGAGTAAGATCCAGCATACTATAAAATGCTACCGTTGAACTCGTTTTTATCACGTTATAGTGTAAAGATGCATCTCTTAATCTCGGTGTGTTGTCCTATCAAACTTGTGATGAAGCCAGTTACGATTTCAATAATATTCCGAAAAATAATAATAATGATAATAATAATAATAATAAAGTTTCTGCACACAGCTAACGGCAGGTCGACGCTGAATTTAGAAAGACGCTTGGATCACGAAGGACACCCTCTTGCCATAACTGCTGCGGAGGTTGTTGTAGCAAGCGGTGCTTCTCCTTGGAATTGGAGAGAAACTCCCAGAAGTGGTTCGTCGGCATATTATTTATGGGTTTTTTTTAAATATTTAAATTATGTAATTTTTCGTAATCGATTTTCGGGTTTCGGGTTTTTTTTTTTTTGGGCAGGTGAACAGACGAATACATACGATGGAAGGGTGATAACAGTTAAATTGGGGGACTTTACAAAGAGAATTGGAATCGATGGCAGTGCAGATGGTATTAAGGAAGCTATAAAATCGGCTTTCGGATTAAGGACAAAGCGTGCGTTTTGGTTGGAAGATGATGACAACGTTGTTAGAACACTCGACAGAGATATGCCCCTCGGAAACTACACTCTTCACGTAGATGAAGGTAAATTTTTTTAAATGTGTAATTACATTAAGGAAGATGTTAATTATTGTTTCGATTTTTGAATGTGATTTTTGACCATTTTTGACTCGGAATTTGACGAAAGTTAAAACACAAAACTTGTAGTTCTTTTAGTTGGCTTTCTAATACGACTTGAATCAACTAGATTGGATCTCGAAGAAAGAGTTATGCATGAATGAGTTACACTTCAAAAACAAAAAATCAATATTCATTCGTTCACGCATATCTCTCTCACCCGACATCCGATCCAGTCGATTCAAGTTGGATTAGAAAGCCAACTCAAAGAACTACAATTTTGGCGCTTCGACTTTTTCCAAATTCGGACTGAAAATGGGGCCACAATCTCACATTTGAAGTCAAAAACGGCATCAGTAAAATTGAAACGACATTTAACAATTCAGTTACGGTTAATGAACTGATATGTGATTCATATTATTATGATTACAGGGCTGACTATAAAAGTTTGTTTCTACGAGGAAACGGGGCCGATGCCAGTGCATGCGGAGGATAAAACGTTCTACAACGAAGATGATTTTCGGGATTTTTTGTCGCGTAGGCGGTGGACTTGTTTGAGAGAGTACAACGGGTTTCGGAATATCGACAGCATGGAGGAGCTTTGCCCTGGAGTTATATATCGTGGTGTCAATTAAAGTCCGGGATTTATTATACTGTGATGAAGTCGTGTTTTTATTGTTAATATGGAATTTTGTTGAATGTACTAAAAACGTGTTTGTTGGATTGACGACGAACTACATTTGATGGTTGTGTTTTTTTATTGGGCTTTTCTTTAGGCCCATCTATGTTTGGGCTATAGACCTGTGGGCCAGGAATATCAACTTTTTGTTTTTTAAAGAAATTTTGTTTAATTTTAGAGTAAGAAATTCTGAAATTACTATTATTATTATTATTATTAGAGAAAATTACGGCTACCCTAAGGTAAGTTAGAATTACGAAAAATCTGTTTGGGTAGTTACATATTATAACCACCCCTCAATATATTGTCTTTTGAAAAAACTCATCTTCCAGTAAGTAAATTTGATACCGTAGGGGTGTACGTATATAACAGTATATATTTATTGGATGATTGTAATTACTCAAACATAAAGGGTTTTTTCTGTAATTTAAACTTGTTTTAAGGGGCGGTTGTAATTCGTCCTTATTATTATATTTTTTAAAAGAAAAAAAAAACAGATTTCAAATAAAATATGAAATTTAGAACACTGTGTGGTGCATAGTGATGTCAAATGTCACGCTTGTATTTATCTACCGAGTATTGGCGTACATGTTATGTATGCTAGTTGACGTAATTTAAATAAATAAATAAAAATAATTTGCTTTTTTCCATTTATATTTTTTAATATTAGTCAAGAGTTAACTCATCATAATTTATGATGAAGCATATTAGTGATGCAAGATTCTCAACTTTGTATCATTATTTATTGGTTTTACTTTATATATAAGATAAATTAAATAAATTGGATGAACTGTATTAACAATATACTTTGTAATAAAGATTAAATTAATTATTAAAAGAAAATAGAAATTCAATAAAATGTCCACAAAACATGTGTCCTAACAACTTCCAACTTAAGCTATCATTTGTGCCGTGTCAAAGTTCCCTACTTTCTTTAGTGTCTTCATCTTCTTCCAATTCATCTCGATTTTTCTATTTTGCATCGATTCGTTACGAAACGGGACTCGATAAATACATGACACCTTTTAGTAAACATGTGACAAACTTAGCACAAACTCGGAAAAGTAAAAATGTGATAATTAATAAAAAAAAATGAAAAATTACAAAATATATATAATAAGAAAACAGAATTGCAAAAATCCTAACTTGTTATCCAAGAATGATTGAAAACTTTCTAGAATTCTCAGAATAATCAAAATTAAGGAAATTAAAAAAAAAAGAAGATGGAAATAATCATTTCTTTTTTACCAAGAAATGAAAACAGCTACCACCCTTTGTACTAAACCGGCTCCTTTAAATAGCCCCTCGAATTAGCACTTTTCTTACATACAAACTATTCTCTCTCTCTCTCTCTTCTTTCTCTCTCTAAATCAGTTTTCATTTACTCTATCTAGACTAATGGGGAAGATCAAGATTGGAATTAACGGTATATTTTTACCTTATTGTTTGTCGGATTTTACTCAAATTTCTGACAAATAAAGTTTAATTTATTTATTTGTTGATTTTTAATCAGGGTTTGGAAGAATCGGGCGTTTGGTTGCAAGAGTAGCTCTGCAGAGGGATGATGTCGAGCTTGTTGCTGTTAACGATCCATTCATCACCACTGATTACATGGTATTTATATATATATTTAATTTTCTGGGGTTTATTATATATGATCTTTAAATAGATGTAATAAATTATGGCCAAAAAAAAAATATATGTGCAGACATACATGTTCAAATATGACAGTGTGCATGGCCACTGGAAGCATGGTGAAGTGAAGGTGAAAGACGAGAATACCCTTCTCTTCGGTGAGAAATCTGTCAGAGTTTTTGGGTTCAGGTAGTTTTCTCTCTTCTTCTTCTGTCTAATTTTCCTATTTTATTTTCATTTATTTTTGTTTTTATTTAGTGTTTTTTTTTGTCTTAAATCCTAGTCCCAAAATCAAAGGCTAATTAAATAGTTTGTTTCTGTCCACATTTTGTTTCTCAAAATCGGGCCGTTGTTTTCTCCGAAAGGATTTTTGTCGTAAATTTTCGTGTTCGTCTTTTTTTATGTTCTTAATTAACTAGTGATTTAAAAAAAAATGAGAGTTTGGGTTAACTTTCTTGATTTTTGTCTAATTTGGTCTCGTTACTTTGGCCTCGTTTGGTTGCAACAAATGATTAGATTAGCCAAGATAAAATTAAATAATCTAACAACCGAACCCCGATTATATTATTGACCATAGAAGGTGTGACGTAATATTTTTGTATCGAACCGGGAAGTTATTGGATACACCAAACATCAAACAAATCCCAATTTTGCAATTAATCATGGTTGATCTTCCCAACCGAACGAGGCCTTTATGTTCTTAATTAGTTCTTAATTAGTGAGTAAAAAAATGAGAATCTTGGTTAACTTTCTTGAATTTCGGTAATTATATTATAGGAATCCCGAGGAGATTCCATGGGCTGAAGCCGGTGCCGATTTTGTGGTCGAGTCTACCGGTGTTTTCACTGACAAGGACAAAGCTGCTGCTCACTTGAAGGTTTATATTTCATTTTTTTTTTCTCCGAAAAAAAAAATATCTAATTTATTATTCTTCTTCTCGTCGTCGTTTATGAATTCTGCGTTTATTTGAATAAATTAAAATCAGGGTGGCGCTAAAAAAGTAGTAATCTCTGCTCCAAGCAAAGATGCCCCGATGTTTGTTGTTGGAGTAAACGAGAACGAATACAAACCCGAGTTAAACATAGTCTCCAACGCTAGTTGCACCACCAACTGCCTCGCCCCATTGGCCAAGGTTAATTTAGTCTTTTATCTATTTTTCGATTTTCCTCCGACGAAACTAAATAATTAAATATTAATATATATGATTTTCCGAATTCTCGCAGGTCATTCATGACAGGTTCGGCATTGTGGAGGGCCTCATGACGACCGTTCACTCCATCACCGGTCTGTGGTTAATTAAATAAAACATTTCTTGATCATTTTAATTTTATATATTCCTCACTCGAAATTCAATTTTAGATTAAATATTAAATTGTACTATATGATAATTTAGCTACGCAAAAAACCGTCGACGGTCCGTCGAGCAAGGACTGGAGAGGCGGACGAGCAGCCTCGTTTAATATCATTCCCAGCAGCACTGGAGCTGCTAAGGTATTTAATTACCCATAATATTTACTTTTTTTTTTTGGTAGCAATAAATTTGAATAATTAATATGATTTTTTTGAATTTAATTTGTGCAGGCTGTTGGTAAAGTACTTCCAGCTCTAAACGGAAAGTTGACCGGAATGTCGTTCCGAGTTCCTACAGTCGATGTTTCGGTAGTTGACCTTACAGTTAGGCTAGAGAAAGAAGCCACCTATGAAGAAATCAAAGCTGTAATAAAGTGAGTTTTTTTTGTTTTTTAAAATTTATTTATTTAAATTTATAATTATTTTAAACAAATGAAACTTTGTACTAAAATACATAGCTAAAAATTACTCTGTTTTGCTTAACTCTCAGGGAAGAATCGGAGAACAAGCTCAAGGGCATTTTGGGATACACCGAAGATGATGTGGTTTCGACCGACTTTGTCGGCGACAGCAGGTAAATTACGACTATTTATTTTCACGACTATTTGTTCGTTTATGCATTAGTATTCATTAAAATTGATAAAACGTAAATCATTATTCGTATTAGGTCAAGCATTTTCGATGCAAAGGCCGGAATTGCATTGAACAAGAATTTCGTGAAACTTGTCTCGTGGTACGATAACGAATGGGGTTACAGGTATCAAAATCGAAAATCGACATCCATCACGATCTATTTTAATTTCGATTAGTTTTTTTTTTCCGGGTTTATAAGTTTATTTGACTTATAATGTTTTTAATTGTTGTTGCAGCTCACGAGTGGTCGATTTGATTGTCCACATGGCTTCTGTCGAGTAATGTCTTCGGCTTTTTCTTACGGGGGATCGAAGTGTTGTTCTACTTGTTAACTTTCTTTACTATTCGGTTTCTTTCGATTTTTGTTCTAGAATAAATTATGTTACTGCACCATGGTTTTGCAGTTTCATGTCTTAATTAATTGTCTTTGTCATAGCTATAAAGTTTTGCCCTTGTGGGTTTTAATGAGATTCAAATAAACTTATTCCCCTTTAATTTTTATTTTTATTTTTATTTTTTTAAATATGTTCAATTTTTAAATATGATGATTTACTCAAAAAAAAAAAAATTATGATGATGATTAAGTGGTATTTAATTTCCGCATGAGTCTTAAAGAAGCACGTTTAATTTCAATCATAATTCAATATTGACAAGAAGAAAAAAAAAACACACGTGTTGGTTTGAAATACATCCTTGAAATCAGGAATCCCTAAGTAACTATTCAAATATCCACTCTTAATTATAATCATAATAGGATTAATTGTAGTAATAGTATTAGATATAATACACGTAACTCATTTTTCCGTTTAACCCGTTAACTAACTTGAAAAAACAAATCTCGTTTCAGATATATAATACATTATACAATACAAGTTCATAGATAACACGCCGTTAATTAGAGTCCTTATATATTCTGATTCTCTCCGTCACGTTCTATATATATCACTGCGCCTTTACTCCTCCCTCTCTCTATCTCTCTCTCTCTTCCGCCAATTCATGCTCAGGTGTTTTATTCTTGGATCTGCTTATATTTGTTTTTGTTTCGATTTTCGATTCGATTGATCGGAGATGAGTAATTGTGTGGAAGTTGAGAAGACTAAAACGGCGGAGGAGAAGGCGATAGACGCATGGCTTCCGGTGACTTCTTCGAGAACGGCTAAATGGTGGTACTCAACTTTCCACAACGTCACCGCCATGGTCGGTGCCGGTGTTCTCAGCCTCCCCTTTGCCATGTCTGATATGGGATGGTATGTAAATATCTACCTTCGTTTTTTTTTTTCTTTTTTAATTTTCACACGGCAAAGTATTCGTTACTTAGGGTTTCGTAGAATCTACACCCCTGATGAAATACAGTAATACACTATGTAGTCTTACATTATTCATCGACACAAAAATAATACACACACCTGTATGTGTGTTTAGTGGATAATTATTTATGTAGATCTACGGTTTAAAACGTTGTCTTGTTTAACATGCATTAATTTTATTGATTTAGTATTTTTGTTCCCACTATTTCGACGGAATTTTTAGATTTTTATTTGTGTATAAATTACTCTTGTCGTGCCAAAATATTTGTTGCTTTTGTAGGACTTTTTTTTCTTTCAAATTAGTGTATTAATAATTTTAATGATTTAGAATTTTTATTTTGCCCTTATTACTATTAATTAGAGAATAATTAATGAAAATTATAACCAGAAAGCATATTTTAATAGTTTTCTTAATACATGTCCAAAATTAAAGAAATTCTTCTAATTTTGCTTATATGGACACATGCAACAATATATATAAATATATGTCATCTAACTTGGTTTATAAAGATAATTGAATTTAAATTGAAATATAAAACAATTTTATAGATGAAATCCCCAATTACGCACCAATCTAATGTGTGTATATTTCTATTTTTTATTCTGCAATTATAAAATTCTGACTCCGCCACTGATTTTGACCAACAGGGGACCCGGTGTGACAGTCATGATACTATCATGGATCATCACACTGTACACACTGTGGCAAATGGTGGAGATGCACGAGATGGTACCCGGCAAGAGGTTCGACAGGTACCACGAGCTCGGCCAACACGCCTTCGGCGAAAAGCTCGGGCTTTACATAGTTGTACCTCAACAAGTCGTGGTACAAGTCAGCACGTGCATCATCTACATGGTGACAGGTGGCACCTCCCTCAAGAAATTCCACGACACTGTCCGCCCCAACGAAGTCGGGAGCATCAAGCTCACGGGGTTCATCGCCATTTTCGCTGCCGCCCAATTCCTCCTATCTCTCTCCCCCAACTTCAACTCCATCTCCCTCATCTCCCTTGTTGCAGCCGTCATGTCTCTAACGTAAGTATTTTTATTTATCGTTTTTTTGTGTACGGTAGCATTATCGACCCCCCTTTAAAGTTTTTTTATTTGCATTTTTGGCCACACTGACATAAAATCTTGTTTCCGCCACTGCATACACAGACATATACAATTTATTTATTAATTAGTTTTCTTGAATTTAGGTATGCTATTATTGCATTTTGGCCCGTGCTTACATAAAATCTTGGTTCCGCCACTGCAGACACATACATTTATTTATTTATTTAATTGGTTTTCTTGAATTTAGGTATGCTACTATTGCATGGGTAGCTTCACTAACAAGGGGAGCTGCTCCGGATGTGAGCTACACTCTAAGGGGCGCGAGCGATGCGGCTAAGGTTTTGAACTTCTTTAACGCGCTCGGAAATATAGCGTTCGCGTACGCGGGCCATAGCGTCGTGTTGGAAATTCAGGCGACGATCCCCTCGACACCCGAGAAACCCTCGAAGAAGCCTATGTGGAAGGGAGTTATCTTCGCTTACGCTATAGTTGCTATCTGCTATTTTCCGGTTGCTTTCGTCGGTTACTACGTGTACGGGAACTCGGTCGATGACAATATCTTGGTCACACTTGAGAAACCTAGATGGCTCATTGCTGCAGCTAACTTGTTTGTCTTGGTCCATGTTATTGGAAGCTACCAGGTTTTTATTATATATAATTATTACAATTTATTTAATTAATTTCATCTGATTTTTTTATTTATTTAGGTATATATTGAATTTCATCTGATTTTTTTTTTTTTTTTTTTTTTTTTTAAATTTAGGTATATGCAATGCCTGTATTTGATATGTTGGAAACATTCTTGGTTAAGAACTTGAAGTTTAACCCGTCGACGCAACTACGTGTCATTACTCGTTCCTCGTTTGTCGGTAAGATTAATTAGGGTTTTTTTCTTCTTCTTTTAGGGTGATGAAATATATATATATTTCTAATTTAATTTTTTTTTGTGCAGCAATAACTATGTTTATTGGCATGACATTCCCATTCTTCGGTGGTTTACTTGGATTCTTCGGTGGATTTGCTTTGGCACCAACCACATACTTCGTAAGTGATAATTACCACGTTGCCCTTTTTCAATTTTTTTTTTCATCGGATGTAGAATCTACGACACTGTTGGTTCATAATACGTTAATCGAATACGAAGTAACTTTTATTTGATTCTAATAATCGATTATGATTTCAGCTTCCTTGCATCATCTGGCTCATTGTCCGAAAACCAAGGAGGTTCAGCTTCTCCTGGTGCATCAATTATGTAAGTTATTAGAACACAAAATTCTTTATTAATTTATTATTATTATTTTTTTCATCTGATTTAATTATTTTAATTATGAAATTATTGAATTACAGATCTTCATTATTCTTGGGGTTACATTGATGATTTTAGCACCAATTGGAGGACTCAGGAACATCATCTTATCAGCATCTTCCTACAAATTCTACCAATGATTTTATTTATTTATTTATTTTTTTTTTTTGCAAAATATCTCAAGGAATATACATTTTTGTAAATAATGGTAATATTTTTTTAATTACCATTATTTATTCCTGAGATTATTAATTAGTCCTAGTTTTTTACTTTAGCCAGAATTACTGTTAGCAAGTTTTATTTTAACTTTTTTTTAAAGTATCTTTTTGTACAGATGCTTAGTCCTCAGAACAGCTTTTACTTGGATTTTATATTAGTAATTTATTTTCATTATTTCAAATGCTTAGAGAATAACATGAAATGAGTAAATATTTATAGATTTATTATTTTACTTAAAATAAGAAAAACTGCAAACAAATGATATTGAAAAGTTTACTTAAAACTAGCTCACTTATACTTATATTATAATAATTTAATTGCACTTTATTAAATTAGATTAGTGGTTGATTGCAACAATCTAATGATAAAAATTTATCATAAAGCAATGATGAATAATTAATTAATTAAATAATTATTACCATATGTGAAGGAGAAAGGCTACTGGTCTAACCATCACCTACCAATTAAAATGACATGATTAATATATCTAATCATTTTATGGATAAACCAATTGCCTTTTTGTATGATCATTTTTCCAGAATAATTGGAATTACTTTTGTTAACATATGAAAGTGCTTTTGTTATGAATTACTTCCTTCATCCCGCAATATCTGTCACTTTTAAGTAATGTTCACGTTTTATATTATCCGTCACTTTAAAATTCTCATGCTGCATTAATTACATTTTTTTTCAAATTTGCCCTTATTAACTAACTCTCCGACAACCTCTCAACTTTAATTAGTAAATAAAGGTATTTTGGTCCGACAGTGTATTATTTTTTTTCTAAAATCATGACCTATTTATTAAGTTTCTTAAGATTTGTGCATAAAGAGTATGTACTATAGACATGTATATAAGCTCTAATCGAGTACGTATTTATTTGGTTAGTCGGGATAAATTCTTCGTAATAAAATTATAAATACATTTAATCTAATAGATTTTATATTTGAGTATCTTTCAAATGATAATTTAAAATTATAATTATATATATATGGTATTTAAAATCCAACCAACAGATTCTTAAATTTGATTCTTTCATACTAAATACTAAATATACGCATTTAGGGATGTTGGTGAACAATAAATATTTACCAGAAGTACAGTTCATGGGATAATATATATATTTGATCATCTTCAATTTATTCCATCATACATTCAATTTTTCAAATATTCCTAAAAAAGAAAAGAAATGAAGAAATAAATGGAAATAAATAGGTATTTGGAGTAACTGGAAAGTAAGAAAAGAAAGAAAGAAGGCAGCTTGCAGTGAAGGAAAAAAGTAGCGGCGTTACTGAAAAGCGAATATAACAAACCAAACATTCATTACTCATTTTCATTTCATGTTCTTTCTTTTCAGCTTCTCGCATTTATTGCCTGGCAAAAATCAATTGAAGAACTGAATTTTTTTTTATTTTTTTTTTGTTTTGATTTTTCAATTTTTTTTCTCGTTCGCTTTTGCTGCTGTGCTGGTGGTGGCGGTGTTGCTTCCTTGCTACACATCTCTCTCTCTCTACAATTCACCTCTCACGTGAACTGTAATTGCACCGTTTTTCGTCATTACTTTTCTTCTCGATTTTGTTTTTTGCTTTTTTTTTTTAATTTTTTTTGGGGGCAGTTTATTTCGGACATGTTTAAAAATTATACAAGCCCCTGCAGATCTACTCAACTTTGGGGGTCATAATTTGGGGGGATTTTTAGGGTTTTTTTGCTGTTAAACTAGTGAGTTTTGAAGTGGTTAACTCTGGAATGGCGATTCCGTACGCGTAATTGAGATTGTTTTTACTCTTTGGAGCTGATGAAATTTAGTCCAGAATTGAAGAATTTGATATGTTTTTGGGGTTTGGTTTTGGCATTTTGAAAAGGAAGTGAGGGTTTGGATTGGGGTTAATCTGGAAAGGATTTCTGTAATTCTGCATTTACATTTTGTCATGGCATATGAGTGCAAATGCATGAACAGATAAAACAATTTTCGTTGCCTTGAATGGAAATGTGAAGAGAAAGAGGGTTGTTCTAGGGTTACTGTTCATGATTTTCGGTTTCAAATTTGGACTTCTGAAGGGATTAGAATGAGAAGTTATTTGGTGAGCTCAGTTAGGGTTTGAAAAAAAAAATGCACGAATCGCCTACGATGAGAATTTCGCCTCGGAGGGAGATGAGGCCGGAGAAACACAAGAGAGGGCGTAGTCTCGAGAGTGGGATTCTCCACCGAAAGAAGGAAGACGATCTTGCTCTGTTCAATGAGGTGCAGAACAAAGAACAAGACAATTTCCTTCTTCAGTCGAACGACAACTTTGATGACATATTCTGTAAATTCTTACACCCCATACTAAATGATGTTTTGGCATATTAAGCATGTGGTGCATTTCATGTTTCCTTACTGACAACATTGTTTTGTTCTTTTTGTTAATTATGGCGGTGGCAGCGATAAAATCAAGATTCTTCTCAGATTATAAGCTTGGAATCTCCGTTCGTGCTCAAGGAGAAAGTAGCGACCTGCTCAATGGTGATGGAGATAAAAACGACTATGACTGGTTGGTTGTTTTCTCTTTTAAGGAATGAGTTATGAATATAATTCTTTCTATCTTTTCTTGAATTTATGTTTTTTCACAAGTCAAAGTATAAAAGAGCAACCATGAAAATACTTTGAGGATGTAGTTAGGTTTTCACATAAATTGAGCTTATACAAACTATTTGTCAGCTGCCACGTGTGTTCGTATATTAAGTAACGTCCAGCTGTACATATTGCTTGATTGAAGTTCCATGCTTGGTTTTTGGATTTTTCTGTTGATAACATATAGCCATCGATTATCTATAGGTTGATAACTCCTCCAGAAACTCCTCTTTTTCGTTCTCTTGATGACGAGACACGAGAAGTCAATGTTGAACCTAGGGGCAGGCCCAGAAGTCAACCTGTTCCAAACTCACAGTCACCCACGGTAATATTAAAAGCTCAAACATATATTAATCATGTGTCATTACAAATATTTGATATATGTATCTTTCAACTACAGATGGAGAACGGTTACAGAAGCGGTAGAAGGAGTGCAAGTCCTAAATGCCTTAGTCCATCTCCACGGTCAGGCAGTAGTACATTGCAATCAAGAAGTAGGCCATTTTCCACCAATCATTCAAGTCCACCTCATACTCTATCCAATCCTTCTCCATCGAGGAGGCAATCACCGCCTGCTCTAAGGTCTAATTCACCAACTCCTAGGAGGATGAGTGGGTCCCCCGTCAAGACAAGTCGGGGGAACTCTGCTTCACCGAAAACGAGAGCATGGGAATCTAGCATTGCTGAATTTTCTTCAGAGGCACCGCCTAATCTTCGTACCTCACTGAATAATAGACCAGCATCCAGAAATGGCCGACAGTCAATGTCTCCTACTGCTTCTAGAAGCGTCCGTTCATTGAGTGGTCATGAGCGGGACCCGTTTAGTTTCAACGGGAAAAGTTCATTTGCATCATGCGGTGATGATGATGTCAGCAGCTCGGACCGTTCAGCTCCAAGAAGCATCGGTGCTTATCCCAGCTACACAAACACTGCCATGAGTTTTTCTAAGAAACCGGCAAAAAGTTTGTCAAGTTCTGCTCCTAAAAGATCCCTCGATTTGGTGCGACAAATGGTAAGAAACTTTCTCTTTTTAGTTCTGGAGTTTTGCTTACTTGATGGATAGACACTTTTGGCCGTATATTGTAGTTAATTATAATTGTTTCCTTCTGCTCTCCACGTGTTGTTTTACTATTATTGTTGGTGTGTTGAATGATTTAAATATGTCTACCAACCTTTTTCTTTCCAACCGTGTTGTTTTATGTGCTTTCCATGTATTATTTATTCAAGCACTAGCGTACAAACATTTAATTGTCTTGATTTCACTACGATCTTTTTAGACACGTTTTTAACAATTAGTTGTGTTAAGTCCGTTTCGTAAAATATTTCTACATCTATTACTCTCACAACTGCAACATCATATCTCCTCAATCCAATTGGGTTCAATGTAGTGGAAAAACAGGATAACAAAGGCAAGCATTCCCGAAGCAGATACCTGTTATATTTCTTACTAAAATGAAAATGTCGTAAATCTAACGGTTACCATGAGTTTCAGAAATAAAAAAGTATGATAACTGTCGTATTTGTATTTCATATATTGGATGAAAACTAATTCTTGTCCGCTTGCTCTTTCCTATCTAGATTTGATACGGTAAATGTTTATGCCTGAAGCATGACTCGTGGCAGTATTTTTTCGCGAGTATTTTGACCAAAATATTCATTTACAGGATCGCAAAGGTCCCCCGCAGAATATGTTTAGGCCTCTGCTGTCAAGTGTCCCCAGTTCAACGTTCTATGCAGGAAAAGCGAGTGGAAACCATCAGTCTCGTACATCCATGAATTCTTCAATCACAACAAGCAGTAACGCTAGTTCTGATCAAGCAACAGGTGGAGCCCACGGTACTGAAGAAAGTGAGCAGAACCGGGAGGACATGACAAGTGACTGCGTGAAGGGACTTTATCCAGATGTAGATGATGAAGTATTTGACATGGAGCTGGCTGATGCTCTGGTTGGAGATGTCGAGAACAGAATCGTGGAGGACTCGCTTAGTGATGGGCATGGTGAAATCGATGGCGTATACGCTGATGGCGCACCGGATATGGCAATATGCTCTGAATGTGGTCTCGTGTTTCATTCACCAGAGGTATTAATGGAAGGGTATCTACAACTTTGCCTGGAATGCAAAGGTTTGGAGGTAAATTCAATTATAACCAGTCCACTGAAAATCGAAATGGTTGGTGAGAAGAATACACAGGACTTCGTTCAGAGTCCAGAACATGGATCACTACAAGCTACTACTTCTGCTGATGAAGCAGGAGTGGATCGTCTCGACAACTTGGCCAGTTTGAGTCAACATGCACATGGTGACTCAGGCCATAACCTTACAGATATGCCGATTGAGGAAAGGGCTTTTTCCACTCAGCAAGTCGTAAAGCCACTTACGAATGGTGATTCAGAATGTGCTGGTATATCCTTGCTGCTGACGAGATCAAACAGTGTGAAAGGGCGTACTGTTCAAAGCAGGAGTTTTACGGCAAGTAACACCAGTTATGATGATTTCTCCTATGTGAGGGGCAGTGTGAATAGCATGAGAAGCTCAATCGACCATAGCAGTACATCTTTATCATCTTCAGTTGATCTGGGGTATTCTAGGCAAAAGGAAATCCAGATTCATCGGCAATCAAGTGGCCATAAATCGGATTTAGAAAATTATAGATATGAAATGCCCGCAAAGCACAAACGCTCCGTCTCTTCAATGTCTGATGCTTCAGCTCGTACGTTGCAGGTCCCAGTTATAACACATGGAGATAGTTTTCAGGTAATTACGGCCAACGTGGATAAGGAATTTGGGGAGGAAATAAGTCTCGATCCGCGAGAACAATCGCTGGCTTCTGAATGTACAGAAGCAGAGAGTTCAAGCACATCAACTGCCTCGGAACTATCAGGCCCGTTGATGAATGTCTGTACAGAAGATAATTCAGTGCTGTCAGATTTGATGCCTCAAGATCCAGCATCAGATCATATTCAAGCCGAAGAAGATGCAATACCAAGTTCATGTGTTGACACGGTGGAAATTGCGGAAGTTCCTAAGACGAGCTCTCTCGGTGCAATATCTGAAATAGAAACTGAGAATGCTGGTGTTGTATCTGCTAATTTCCATTCCGATGAATTAGAGCACAATGAGGCTAAAACAGGAACTCGCGAAGAATTTGGCACATCACATCTTGCTCATGGTGTTATTGGTACGTACATCTTAGATTCTAAATGATGTTCGATGGTTTTGTTCGCATTTACATTTTTGTTATGCGTGAGCATCTTATTCTTGACCCGATACTGTGGGCAGACTGTTCATTTTGAGTTGAAGCTATCACAATTAAACTTATGCACCATAGTGAAATTTAGATAATTAATTTGGTTCAGGATATTCTGGTTGCCACCAATTACGTAGGTAGGCAGCCAGAATATTACATCATCATAACTGATACTCCTATGTCGTTTTTCCCCTCCTTATCTTAACCTGTACTGAATTTCTTTGTACTTTCTGTTTTGATCTTAAACTTCCGAATTACAGAAGAATCGAGGGTTCTGATAGAAGACACTGGTGAAACAAAGCCAAGAAGTCTGACCCTCGAAGAAGCGACCGATGCAATTCTGTTCTGCAACTCCATAGTCCACAATCTAGCATATGAAGCTGCAAATATTGCAATACATAATGAAATCTTGCCAATTGAAGTTCTTCGACCAATTGTAAAACCTGTGGGCAAATCCGATTCGGAGAAAAGAGATAATACACGCTCAAGGACCGTACGAAAACGTAATTCCAAGTCCCAGAAAGCTCCTACAGAAAACAGGGTACAGATGGATACAAAACATCCTTGTAATAATGGTGAAACTGATGAGAATTCTAATCCAGGTATTGTTAGAGATCCTAATAACGCGGATAGCTTGATTCCTCCGAAGCTGGAGTCCAAGTGTAATTGCATAATCATGTAGAAACTGTGGCCGCTTCGTATTATTACAGAAGAGGGTGGTCTGTGTGTTTTTGTGTGTGTGTGTGTGTGTGTTTTTTTTTTTTTTTAACTTGGTTGCTGTTTTGGAAAGTGGCAATAGACAATCCTTTGTTGTAAAGTTCTAATTTTGATTAGGTTGATAATTATGGAAGGCAATTTGGTAGTCTTTTGTTTTTGTGTCCATTTCTTGATGATGAAAGAGCAGTTGATGTATTCTTACAAGAAAGTGTATTATTCAAGAGTAAGATTTTTTTGACCTTTGTAATTACTTGTACATTTGTTGTTGAGATTGAGATGCTTTTTTTTCTTATTGTAAGATGCTTTATAAAGTTACTCTTATGGCCGGAATTGGAAATTGGATGGATCGGATCGGAATTGACATTTTTTTTTATTTGGCAGTTAAACTAATTTCAATTTTTTTTAGAAAAATTGGATATTTGAATTTCGGAAAATGGGATGGAAAAATTTGTTCAAAAAATGATTTTTTTTTCGATTGGACGTGTCGAAATCGGAAATTCATGTATAATTTCGGCAAAAAAAATGAAATTTCCGGGATCATTTTCGAAAATTAAAGTCGAAAACTTGTATATATATTCCTTCAATTAAAAAAAAAAATCGGAAATCGAAACTTCAAAAAGACCACCTCTAAATAGCAAAATGCTTGAGAAACTTTAGATTTGAGACAATATATATATTGATATGATTACCATTAATTGTACGGACAAATACTTATATGTGATTACATGCTTCCTTCTTTAACCAGCCTGAACAGGCATATACTCACATTCCTCGACAAATGCAGCAACCTCAGCCATCTCAAACAACTCCAAGCACATCTCATAACACTCGGCCATGGCGAAACCCATTTCTACGCCTTCAAGCTCATCCGCTTCTGCACTCTCCGCCTCTGCAATCTCGGCTACGCGCGACACGTGTTCGACAGATTCAACTCGCCCAACATTTATCTCTACACCGCGATCATCACTGCGTATGCTCAAGTACCCGATCACCTGTCCGCTGTGCTTCTTTACCGCGATATGGTCCGTGAAAATCGGTCGAAGCCCAACCACTACATGTTTTCGATTATCTTGAAGTCGTGGCCGGAGGTTGTGAGGAGTTATGGGGTGGAATTGGTGCAAGCCCAGATTGTGAAATCCGGGTTTGGTGGAAACCCGGTTGTGCAGACGGCCATTTTGGACGGGTACTCGAGGTGTGGAGCAAATGTTTGTCTTGCAAGGAAGGTGTTCGATGAAATGTCTGAGAGGAATGTGGTATCTTGGACTGCAATGATTTCAGGGTACGCGAGAGCTGGGCAGCTAGGCAGCGCCGTTTTGCTTTTCGAAGAGATGCCGAAGGGTATAAGGGACACACCGTTCTGGAATTGTATTATTTCTGGGTGTGTGCAGAATGGGTTGTTTTACGAGGCCATCGAGTTTTTTAGGAGAATGGTTGTCGAAGAGGGGGTGAGTAGGCCCAATCAAGGTACTATCGTATGTGCACTTTCCGCTTTAGGACATAGTGGAATGCTGCAGGTTGGAAAGTGCATTCATGGCTACGTACATAGGATCGGACTTAGTTCGGATTTATTCGTCGTAAATGGCCTAATCGACATGTACGGCAAATGTGGGAATTTCGCGAAATCAAGAATCGTTTTCGACAAATCCAATGAAGTAAATTTGACGTCGTGGAATTCTCTGATAAATTGCTATGCGTTGCATGGTCGATGCCGCGAAGCGATTGCTATTTTCGAAGATATGCTGCAATCCAAAGATAAAATAAATCCCGACGGTGTGACGTTTATCGGATTACTGAATGCTTGCACGCACAGAGGATTGGTTATGGAGGGTCGTAGTTATTACAATACGATGATTGAAAAGTACGGAATCGAGCCTCAAATCGAGCATTACGGGTGTTTGATAGACCTTCTTGTCCGGTCCGGAAAATTCGAAGAGGCTATAGAAGTTGTGGAGGGAATGAGAATTCCGCCCGATGAGGTCATATGGGGTTCGTTGCTTAACGGGAGTAAGATTCATAGGCGTGTAGACATTGCTGAATTTGCAGTGAAGAAATTGATCGAGATTAATCCGACGGGTAACGGTGGTTATAGTTCGATTTTGGCTAATTTATACGGGGAAATGGGGAAGTGGGACGAGGTACAGAGAGTTAGGACAACAATGTCTGAAGGGAATGTTTGTAAACCAGGTGGTTGCAGTTGGATAGAAGTTGAAAACCGAGTTCATAGTTTCTATTCGGTTGATCGATCGCATTGTAGAACGGAGGAAATATATGCGGTTTTGGGTTGTCTGGTTGATAATGTAGAAACGGCAGTTAGTTTAAACTGCAATGCAGATGGGAGGTGCTATTCGCGGTAGCAAAATTACGAATGTCGTTTTAAAAAATCCACTCTCTATCTTTCTTTCTCTCTCTACAATTTTAGCTTTTATATTAGAAATCATTCCAAAACTCATGTTACTGTAGCCATTTGCAAAAAAAATGAGTGCATCGAATGAAGATCGAGATATGGAATCTAATGAGGTAAAATTTGTTCGTTTTTGTTCTTTAAATAGTGAAAACGCGACCCACGACCAAACTGGGAGCTAAAAAGTCCGATTCACGCCCGGTTTGGGCGCGTAAAAGTGTTATCCGCGCCCGATTTGGGCGCCCAACACAGCTTTCGGCGCCCGGTTTGGGCGCGCTCTGTGACTGAGATTTAATAAAAAAAATTACATATTTATTCTGCCACAAGGATTCGAACACGGGACATTATTTTGGAAGCACAAGCTTACCAAACCAACAAAGCTACAGCCATTTTGATAATAAATTATTATTAAATTGTATTTATAGATTTCGTTATACTTCGCAAAAAAATAATAAATATACGCGCTGCTAGAAGGACTCGAACACGGGTCTATTGCGAAAAAACGAGACGCCCGACCAACTAGGCCAAAGAAAGTTCATTAACTGATAATTATTTAAATATAATATACCATCATTTATACAGGGATAAAAAAAAATTGAACCGGACGACCGGTCCAGAACCGGCGTCCGGACCGAACGCCCAAACCAATTTTCCACGCCCAAAATGGGCGTGTGAAAGCAGTTTCCACGCCTGTTTTAGGCGTGAAAACTGCTTTCACACTCCCATTTTGGGCGTGGAAGATGCGCAGTTTTTATTCAAAATTGACCCCCAAATCGCGATTTTCCTTCGATTTTCATATAATTAACAACAAATTCAATATATATAAGTAGTTTAGATGAGTAATTACCTTTCAAATTGAGGAGATTTTCGGATTTGGAAGGATTGTGAGAAGGATTTAGGATTTTTCTGAAATTTGGGGTTTTTTTGTGGTTTTGGGGTTTGAGTGAATATATTGGGGAGTTTTTAGAGAGAGAAAGGAAATGTATTGTGAACGACATTCGTAATTTTACTGCTGCGTAAATCATTTCAGAATGCAGATTGATGTTTATGACGTAATTTAAATCTATGGGCCCCTCGAACTTAAAATCCTGGCTCGGCCGCCGGTGTGCAGTGGCATATGTAGACAATAGTCCACAAAGTTATTGCGCTCTATTTACTCTTTAGTCTTTACCAACTAGCCAGCTAGGTCATACTTCCCATCACCAATCAATTTTTTTGGGATTTGCTTTTTACCGTTTGAAAAGTGCTATTTACCGTTCAAAGACTCTCTCTTTCTCTCTCTAAAAAAATTCGCTCTCAAGACGATTTCATCACAAATCATACTTATTGGTGTGATATACGAACATAAATGAGTTCATCGGATGAAGATCTGGATAGCGGACACAACGAGGTAAAAATTCCGTCTTTTCGATCGAAAAAAATGGGCTAAACGTTTCAAAGCCCAACTCGGGCGCCCGAAG